CGAGGGGGAACTGTCAGCTGAGGTGGACGATCAGCTGAGGTGGACCATCAGCTGAGGTGGACGATCAGCTGAAGTGGACGATCAGCTCGACTGCAGACAGATTTATCGTTTTGTCTTTTTTCTTAATTGTCCGCAGAATCAATAAATTAGTTCCAACACAGTTAAAAAAAACCAAATGTCATTGATTAAATTCATCTTTGACTTTGAACAGCTGATACGGTGGTGTCAAAGGTCGTTCCCACCTGTGGTCAGTTTGGAGTGAAGACAATAATGGATGTTTTTTAAATGATCCCAGTACTTGGTTTGTAATGTTTCATGTACTGCAGTTCCACCACTGGAGGGCAGCAGTCTCTCAGGGCTGCACTCCATTCATCCCCAGTTAGTGGCCTGTGCACGGTTGCCAGGGCAACAGGCCCCATGTGAAAGAGCCTTATTGGTTGTAAAGCTGTGAGACAGAGAGGGAAGTGAGGAGCGGAGGGTGAGAGAGGAATTCCAATCTGCAGCTGAGGACACACACACACACACACACACACACACACCTTTTTCCTCATTGGTTTGAACAGTCGTCGGTCCAGTCGTTGTGATCACTGTGATGATTGACAGGTGATGATTGACAGGTGATGTTCTGTGTTCTGTTGGACAGGATCCACTGTGGAGGTTCTGATCCTCCTCAGTGCACGTGCACGTGCACAGTGTTCCATCAATTCTATATTGAATGACAATTATGGGATGTGGTGAGTGGACGGTCGTCCGTCTCTCCTCCTCCTGTGGAAGTGCGTGCCTCAGCCCCTCCCCCACCCAGACGGAGACAGGGATTCATAACTAGATTAGAGGTTATGTAATTGTGGACTGGAGCAGAGGGGTTCTGGGTAATCCAGTCGTATGTGTGTCAACCCTATCTGCCTGTTAATCTGTCTGTAGGAGGACCGGTTCTGAACAGTACCGACGGCACAGTTCAGCCGTGCAGCCAGTTCCAGTACTGTTTCCTGTTCTTTCTGGACGGTGAATAAAACAACGGCAGCGACCAGAAGGTCAAACACTGGTTCTGGTTCCACAGTCCAGAACATGCAGCTGGGGGTTTGGGTTAAAGTTCACTGTAGGGTGGGTGTGAATGTGGGTGTGAATGAGTGTGAATGAGTGTGAATGAGTGTGAATGAGTGTGAATGAGTGTGAATGAGTGTGAATGGTCGTTTTGTCTCTACCTGTGACAGACTGGAGAACTGTCTTAAATGCACTAATCCACAGCAGCTAACGTCCAGGAGGAACTCTTCTTCTGCTCATGTTCAGAGGCCTAAAGGAAACCATGGCGCCACCATCTGGTCCTGTAGTAAACAGAAATAACTATCAGCAGCAGCAGCGGCTGGTTGATGATGATGATGATGACGATGATGATGACGGTGATGATGATGATGTGATGATGATGGTGATGATGATGAAGATGATGATGATGACGATGATGATGACGGTGATGATGATGACGATGATGATGATGACGATGACGGTGATGATGATGGTGATGATGATGATGATGATGATGATGAAGATGATGACGGCTCTCTGGGTCAGGTTTGTGTCATAGTTGACCTCTGGTGACCTTCCTGTTTCGGTGTTTCTCCTTCCTGTTGTCTGCAGGTCCTAAACTCTCCGTGGACCTGAAGCACTTCCTGAACTTGAGGTTTCATAAAAGTTCAGTCGACCACGAGCTGCAGCAGACGATCCGAGCGAACCTGTACCGTCACGCCGTGCCCTGTGAGTACGATCACATGACTACCAACGGAGGACGGGTTCACACTGACTGATCTGGACGGGACTTGTCTTTATCTTTTTCTGACCTTTGACACAGGGTCAGGTCATGTGACCCAACGACTCGACAACAGCCTGTAACCAGAAAAATACAACTGGTCCAGAGAAACAGGCTGCCATGAGACACTGCCCCCTGGTGGACAGAATTGGACATAAAACTTTTAAACACATCTATTAGTGGGTCACATGTCCTGGTTCTCCTCAGTCCATCCTCCTCCTCCTCATCTTTGACTGTGTATGTTCCAAATGTTTAGACCAAAGTGAAGACGTTCAGTTCTGACGTTCCGGGCTGACGTTCAGTTCTGACGTTCAGTTTTGACGTTCAGTTCTGACCTTCAGTTCTGACCTTCAGTTCTGACGTTCCGGGCTGACGTTCCGGGCTGACGTTCCGGGCTGATCTGTGGTGAAGAGAATTCCTGGTGAATCTGAACCAAAGCTTCAGTTTGTTGAAGGATAAAGTCAGTGATGTTCAGCTCTTCCCTCTAGTGGTGAGATTAGAGACTGGCACAGTTTCCTCACACAACCTTTCCCATTTAGCCTGAAAGCCAGTGTTCCAAATATAAGGCTCACAGGGCAGCATGTGGGCAGTGACGTTTGGAACAGGCGGACCTGTTGACGTTTGAGTGAAAATAGGAAAAGAAGACGTTTGGACAAAGAGAAGAAGACAGAGACATAGTTGGTGTTGGAGGGTGAGGGTGAGAGGTCATGACCCCTGAAGGGAGGAGCCAAACAAAGTAGTACAGAAGTATTTACAACAACAACAACCTGTAGTCATACAGTAGGTTTGTACCCCCCCCCCCCCACTTGTCTCGGTGACCTGTTATTGACGCCACCTCCTGGTCATTGTCTTCCTTCTCTCACACACACACACACACATGCTAACATTGTCCTAGCATGGCGGGGCAGAACGACAAAGGCAGTCAAATAAAAGCCACACTTCTCTGCCCTCTGTTCCCTTTGT